ATTTTTGGTCGAAAATTTCATAAGGGGGGAGTAAGAGGTCGATTTTTCCAAAAAATTCAAGTTCCTCAAAACACCTCGAGTGATACATCATTTTCATCGGAAAAAGACAAGGAATGCAACGAGCTAATTAAAAGACTCCGCGGCCTTTCCAGTTCCCAAATAATCAACATTTTCTGTATATTTTGAACGGTTTTTGAGCGGTGGCAATCTTCAACGGACGATATCTTCCTTATTTTCGACCCACAACTTTCATCTTCGCTATTGGGGAACTTCTTAGGTCGGAAACATTCCAATAAGGGCAAAAAACGCGATTGCAACATTTTGATTTTTGGTCGAAAAGTTTATTTTAGTGAGAGGTCGATTTTTCCAAAAAATTCAAGTTTTACATTCGACAATTATTCCGTCATTTCGTCTTATTCGAGTATATCTTGTGATCTACTTCTTACTCTGTTTTTGTCTACAATGTTGCTGCATCTTACMTTACTAGTCAAAGGTTGCAAACCTGAAACCACATATGCACTAAACTTATAATTAATTAAATAAGATWCAAGAAAATACTTATCWTWYAGTYATTWCTTTGGTTTGTATTTTTCTTTGTGTGAGTTAATGTGTATTCCATTTCTTCATKCGGATGATTCGAAAGGTACTTCGAATCGAAAGAATGAATTCGARAGATATATGTTCACTCAGTGGTTCTTTTGTGGTGAACATTTACATGTGAGTGTTTGATTATAATTTAAATTTCTTGTAATATCTAGTTCTAAGTCCTATTCGTTGATTACTTTTGCCTTGTCGAACGCTTTAATCAGCTGCTTTTCWGCTGTTTCTTTGAGCATGAAACTGGCATCAGTAGTTGACCGATGCATTTCTCAACTTGTTATTGCAACAAAAGTTTCAAGACGTCTTCAAACGAGATAAAGCTCTAATTGTCGCTCACGTTAGAAGTGCTCGTTAAGAAGTTGCTGCTGTTATTTGCGGTCTCGCATTCTCAAAGGGATTTTATCACTGTGGTATACACTAGCTAGCTGTAAGTGGGGAAAACAGCAATCCAGATTCTAATTTTACATAAAACTAGCTGCTTTTGTCAATCATTTTGGATAGCTTGAAGTGCGATTTCAGATTTGTAAATTTTGTCCGTAATGCATTTTGAGCCAATTGTAATGCTGTGAGCGTTTTTGATATGATGTGATCCGACTGCAAATAATGCAAATGGTACGGAATACTTTAAATTAAATCACGTGCAGTTATATAATTTGGCTGCTCTACCGCGAAACGTCCGCAATTTCCAGTCCTCCATGCACCAATGTTTCCCAGATGGAAAATATTGCCAAGAACGCAAACAAACATCCTTTTATAGGTCAGGTCAAAATATCCTTAAACATCGCCAACGAAGGAACCAAAATTGCCAGATAAATTTCTGGCAAATAGAAAGTTTCCTATTGTTGAGAAAGTGGTTTGGGATGAAAAAATGTGATATACAACAAGACTTTTGCTTCATTTCAGAATGCGAGAATTAAATGTAGTGGAAACCGTGCAAACGTGCCTCCAGCTTCATTTTCGAAATGTTTTTGCCCTCGATTTTGTGGACGAGTGCAAATGGTAAGAGTTGCAATTAATAATACTAAAATATGGATTTGAAATGCTCGTCAGGCTTCAAATCCGTTCAGATTTTGTGGATGCTTTGAAATTGTGCATACGAATTGTTGTGCAAGTAGGAGTAGGAGGACCTTTGTGGTCGTGCTTCTCAATTGTGAAAAATATATAAAATAAAAAAATACATAAAAAATGAAACAGTTGTAGAACAGTTATACAGAATATATTAGACATTTTTGGCAGTAGAGCAACTAAGGCTGCAATAAACCTCAGCAAACGTAATTTTTGCTGCTAAATGTCCGAATGTTACCATTGAAGAAACACAAATATCATTTCTATGTAGGCATGAAATTTGATTGTGCATTGCCGTAACAGAGACACAGCTGAACTTGATTTATGAAATCTGGTTTTGCTGKTTTTTTCGATTTTGCATTTTTSTGATAGRGKASCTAAATGTTTWTACACAAATTTTTTAAACTTTTAGCAATTTTTGTCTTGGCCTCTAAAGTCAATAARGGAAAATGAAGCGCTTCTAAAGGACTCGGGAAGTATCGTAACGGAAATATTGGCAGTTTTCTAAAAAAAGTCTTARATTTGCGTGCTTTTTTTGAGTTGTAAAATCGACTMAAACATGACGCTGCTTTTTTCGAACTTTCTCAATCACCAKTTGAACCACATAATTCGAATCGTTGGATAGAGAATCGCAAATTCTATTCAGTCATAGGATCAAGATTCAATAAACTGGTCATTATTTGCGGAAAAATGAYTCTGATAAAATAACGACTAGTGAAATTACTTGAGAGCAAAAATTGTACTGACTCATACTTACTGGCGACTTCTCGTCTGGAAATTATCTGGAACAGAAGATGATCTTTTCAGCGCCGACTAAATGATTTTGCGTGTTTTTCGCCCGAATGTTTCTCAGTTTTTCGTAAGCCCACCGTTTTCACCGAGTGCCGTTTCAAACTGGAAACTTTTCCGCAAACATTCAAAGCTTCAAAATCGCCGCGGCGCCATTTTCCGCGCAAGCTTTTCAGACTCCACAAAACTAGAACATGTGCTAGTTGCTGGATTTATCAAATTATCTCTACCATAATTCACTGATACGGTTCAGGCGATTGTCAACTACGATTGCTGGCAGTAAAGGGATGAAAAGGGCTTCAATAAATTTAAGAAAAGATGCCTCTAATTGGCATTGGAAAACCACTTTTACTTTGCCATTTGTAGGGCGAACTCAATCTATGCTCCTATTAAAATCCCTCTTCAAAAGTGATCTTGAATAATTCATAGATTTTCCCTACACGGTTCCAAATAACCGAAAAACGAAAACTTTGTTTACGAGCCTGTGAACTTTCGACTTTTGCTGATAGCCTCTTTGCAATAACTTAGGCATTTTCAAGTCAGCCATCCTTTCATTTTCTACTCATTCTAAATTCAAGTCGTGAGCATCGTAAAACCCTCATTTTTAAAAAGGATTTGCAACGCGATTGCATTATAGGAACATCAAGCCATATGGGTTTCGAAATGATCAAACAAGACATTTTAGTCTTGAGTGAACTTGAATCGCATCTTTAGTCTTAAGTGAACTGACTATATTTTGGGATTAATTTGAATCTTTAGCTATTTATAAATGCCAACACTTTTTTAAAGCTCTCAAGGGGCTTGCTCGTCAAACTAGTTTGATCGCAAACTGTACAATCTTCTTCTCCGTATGCAAAATCGTCTTCGATTCTATCAGAAACTATTTTTATTGAACAAACCAGCGTTGAAAGTTATTTAGATTTGTTAGATTTCTTTTTAAAACTTAATTTAACCGCACTTACTCCAACGGTACTGTGAAGTTATTTGGTCGAGGTCATGCTTTTTGCAAATATTCCTAGTTGATCTTCACAGCATATTTGAATTTATGAAAACTGTGTACAGACTTTTTTTTAAATTATCAGAACTATTTCTATTTTACTAGAAATTTGTAGAATTGAATTATAGGAAAAAATGCCTCAAATCCAACCGCAAATATTGACTTTCTTTACACTTGCACCGAAGACAATTGCGAAAAGCTTACACTTTTGGTTCGAATATTTTAAATTGCTTCAGGCTGTTTTGGCCTGAAACGTGTATCAGGCTCCTTTAAAGCCTAACTTTACCAAGGATCTTAACAACCAACAATTTGTTTTACTTTTGAGAATATGCTGTATTTTCTAAACTAGATTCACCAGATTATACATCATTTTTTTTATAAAGTTATAAAGTACAAATATTTTCGAATCGAATCGTGTTTGGCAAGAAGGGACCGCTTTTTTATTTAAATATATACGATGCTACTGAGCTTCAATACCTTTCTGCAAATAAGCCTTTTATGGATTTCAGATTTAAATGTTTTTGATCAATACCCAGAAGGGGCTTCGCTGATTACAAGTCAAGAGTGCAGATGGCGTGATGTTATCTAGTTTTTGGAACATATTGCTGATTTTTGAAAATGTTTTGATAAATAATGCTGTTGTTATTAAATGGTACCCATTAATGCAGCAATTAAACGAATCAGAAAACTTTTTAAAACATAAGAATCAGAAGAAGTTCATTAAAAAATTACAGCGATGAGATTGCCATGGGGTTGCACACCTTGTCTACATTGGGTAATAAAGAGCCAATAAAAAGTGACAAATGAGTAGGTTTTCCTACAATGTAAAATTTGGGTGCTGGCGATGTGGAGTTAAGAGAATCTGGAAAAATAATGCTTTTTGCATCGGAAACAGAACACTTGTTTTTTATGCAAATCCATTGCATTAGTTCGAATTTATTATTTATTTAAAAATTCATCAATCAGGGGAAATTTTTCATTATCGAACAGTACTTTTCAACTAGTAATATTGTTATAATAAGCCTCTTGTYTKAGATTGCACAAACAATAATTGSCTATCACGCACCGATCAATTGTGGASYCAAAAAATGTAAAATATKTTGTGCTGTTATACGGAAAAATTTCTGTCTATGTATACGGCCTTTGTAAAAACCATCATTAACTGGCGTTTGAAAATACGTTTTAAAAATTCTCCATCCGTGACAAGATCTCGCGTCCCTAGACGATAAAAAGACATGAAAAATATCGATTTTAACTCATGTTCTATGAGATACAAAAATGCAAGTCCAGCATCTCTAACAATTCATAAGGAAAATGCGCAAGCAAGTCAAAAGAATTTTGTATGGAGCACACAGCTCATATGAGGAAAACGGATTTGCATGCAGGGTTGCCAATTTCAATACAATCAACATGTTCTTCTTATAATTAGATTGAAGATGAAATAATAGTCTCTATATTTTAGAAAATTCCACATAATAAAAGGTACATAATCATGCTCCAAAGTCCAAAGCAAATACGATAATCTATGCTAATGCAACATGAATAATCACAAAGTGTTAGACCAATTAGTCTTATGTTAGTAAAAATATTCTTTTCTGCACTGTTATATGTACTTTACTCGTAAATAAAACTTTCCATCTGCTATCTGATTTTTGCTTGCTGCTACACAAATTTGATCCAATTTTCCTTCCTCCCCAAATTATTTCATTGCATCATTACAGTAAACTTAGTTAAAATTACAAAAAACTAAGGTGACCCTTAAAACTGATTTTTCCAAGAAAATATCAAAAATTGGCAACTTAGCACATTCTGTTAATGCCCCCGTAAATATTCGATATTCATCCTACAAGAGAGGTTGGAGGATGTTTAGATAAGGTCTTTAGAATTATGAAGAGTATACTTTCCAACGAGAATGAACAAGTTTGTAGCCGATTTAGGGATGTAAAATACGTGACACTGTTCCTTTATCGGATATTTTTAGACACTATTTGCCGCTGGCTTCGCAAGAGGGTTTTAAGCCTTTTGTTGGAAAATAGAAATAATTCTCTACAGTGATGGAAAACCATGCTGCTCTATTTCGTATTCAAGCACTTTTTGGGGCAGTTATATGCGTCCAACAATTAAATTTTGATGTTAAATGCAACCGATGTGATATTTTGTATTATTTGACACAGTTTACTGTGACAAAATTGTAACTTTAAAGAAATATAATTCATGTAACAGATTGGATTTGTCCAAGTTCCCTATTATTTGCCATTTGCATAGTACAATTCAAAGTAATTCCTATAATCAATGTTCTAACGTTACATAGATCCAATTAACAATATATCAAGGCTTTTAGAGTTCAATACACCGCACATTATTGGATTAGTTTCTATTTAGTTTGAGCGTATACACGTGCTCAATATTAGATTATACCTAATTTAATTAACACATTTGATACTTTCGAATACACCGGACTTTAATCTGTAAAACTACCAACGATTGTTCTGAAGAATGCAAACATAAAGCCGTAAAACGGTGATTATAACTTAGATTGTAAGCATGTCGGTGATAAATATATCATCTTAATGGGCTGTGGTAATAAACGCATATTAACACTTTAAATTATACCTTCTGTCAAGGCTTAAGTCTCACAGTGGGTTTTCACAGTTGGGGCGAATTTAATTACAAGTTTCCCAATTGTTAATTACACAGTTATTCATTTGATACGGCGTTTCACTGATTTAAGCAGAAGCTTGATTTTAAATTCAACTAGTGATTGTCGATGTAAACCGTTTTTCTAGCGCCTTTAGCTTTGGCCCCATTTTAATCATTAATAAAGGGAAAATCATTTGAGTTCGGCCTTTTAGAGCGTCAAGGGTCCGCAGCGCAATTTAATTTGCTAAAAAGGGTTTTTTTTTGTATTGGCTTCGTCTTCAAAATAGCACTCGGTAAAGGTGTTCGGCTATTTTAAATAAAGCCCTGCGACACGAAATGCTTTTCAAATATTTTTTGCTCCGTTTTTGGAACATCGTAGACCCAATCGCCATTTAATCTGTTTCTCTTGGGTTTCCGCTTCAATAGACGCTGCCAAAAGAATGTTAAACTGTTTGCTAACGTTTTTTAATCCATTTTTGTGTTCAAATAGTTCGCAACAACACAATGTTTTGGAAAAAACAGCTTGTCTCGTTCACTTCTCCTCTAAGTGCTTTGTCCTTTTCGCGTGTTACTGGTTGTTGTCCAGAATCTTCCAGAACACTTGCTTGAGCATAAGCAAGTTTCGCAATGTTTTATTTGTAATAACTGATGGTTTGTCAAGTAAACTACTGTATAAGTAGTTGGTTTAACACTCCAATTTTTGATCTGCCCTCATGCACCGCCCTTACAAGTGAATTTGGGAGCTTAACCAGTTCTTCTCCTCAAAAAAGTAGTTAATTTTGCTTAATTATCATCGGCCAAGAATTCAGTTTCAGTATAACCAAATCAAAATGTTTTGTGCAGGACCCTGGAAAATATCAGACAATATCAGGTTGCCAAACTTTGGACGAACAATATCAATATCGATTTCAATCGCTGGCAAATTCGCTCTTGTTCTGACATAGAAACCCGGATACCCTTAAAATTAAATTAACTTTGGTGCTTATCACATTATAAAAGCAAATCAGAATGCTTTATAAATTTCCACCCTCGCCCTTCCAACGTAACAATGTTCTTGTTCCACCCTTCTCCTTATAGAATGGATACAGATAATGGCACATTGGGGTGCACTCTCTTCAAAATATTTCCAAGAAAAATTTATTTTAGTACATTGGAACCGTGCCATGTCAAGACATAATTAGAAAATTGCATGATGGGATAAACTTGAACAAGGGATTCCTGGTTGAAAGGTGTAAAAAAATTGTAGAATTATTTTAATATCGGTTAAAAAATTAGATATTTGCCAAGGGAAATGTTCATTAGCTAATGAGAAGCTACCTTAATGTTACTTGAAAACTCAAGTAACAGAGCCGGTCAAACTTGAAGCCAAACTTTACAAAGAGCCTGAAAGGCAGTTGAACCCAATTTTAATCTGCGCTTTATCTGAAGTTTATTAACAAAGTATGAGCAC